TTTTTTTTGAATAGTTAAATCGTAATAAAACGTCCAGCGTTTGTCGTTCCAATTTTCGAAAAGCTCCGGATATTTTCGAATAACATAGTCCGCAGCAATTGCTTTCAATACTTCGTCACTTGGGTAAATTGTTTTCAAAATTGTCTTGTTTACAATTTCGTTGACAATTTTCTTTTTTTTTTAGAATATTAAGAATATTATAAGTAAAATAGTTTTTTTTGTAAAGAAAATAAATAAATTACTTACATTGACGAAAGTTGGATTGTACATCTTATTTCATAATTTATTACTTTTAATTTTTTTTCGAATGTAAACTATTTCCTTTTGTAGGTCTCTGACTTTCTTATCAATTTTTTTTAAATAATTTAGTATTTGATTATCTTTTTCTTTTTTTGTCAATGGTTCTTTTTTTTTAATAAAATAAATTATACATTATAAAATATTTTTATTAAATATTTTAATATGAAAATTTTTGAAAAATTACTATCAAAATGTTAGTCTTCTCTTCCTATTTCTATTCTTCTTCATTTTCTTACTTGTGATAATGGAGATGTTTATCTTTCATCATCTAATATCAATACATCTTCTATTTCAATCTCTTCTCTTGTTGCTGACATTGATGCTGCTGACGTTAATTCTATTGCTGGAGTAAATACTGCTTGTGCTAAAGTCCTTTTTTTTACTTTAGTGAAACTTGATCTTCTAAATAAAAGACTAGAAATTTTATTTTTATCTTTTTTTTTTGTTTTTTTTTTGATAAAAGTTAATTAAAGTTCTTTGTGATATTTCAAAAATTTTAGATATTCTAGGATTTATTTTATAAATATAGAAGAATTTTGATTCTTTATATATACATATTTTTCCATCTCATTTTTTCAGAATTTAAAATAACTCGAATATTTCTGAAATGTATTATCTATACATGTTCCCAAAATTGATTTTGAATTTTTGAGATATTTTGACTTTTTGAGATTTATGCAAAATCTATTCTATATATGGAAGTAA